TTTGCAGACGACGTGGCGGTAGTAGCGACGGGCCTCACCACAAGTATACTTGAGGAGGTGACGAATAACGCGCTGGCGAAGGTGGCCGATTGGATAGAAAATGGCGGATTAACCCTTTCAGCCGGCAAGACAGAAGCAGTGATGCTCACTAGAAAGAGAGGCTATGAAGTGCCAGTCTTTTCGGTGAACGGGGTACCCGTGGAACCGAGTGAAAACCTCAAATACCTCGGTGGGCAACTATCCAGGAAGTTGGGCTTCAAACACCATATAGAGACGGCGGCAAAAAGAGCAGGAGCCACAGCCGAATCCCTGATGAAAATTCTTCCCAACATGGGAGGAGCCAGACAACGGAGGAGGAAGGTCGTCGCGCTGGCAGTGCAAAATCAACTGCTCTACGCAGCCCCGGTCTGGGCAGATGCACTCGTCTTCGAAACAAACGTCCAAACGTTAGTGAGACCTCAAAGGAGAATCGCATTAAGAGTAGCCATGGCATACCGTACGGTATCAGCGAATGCCATCTTAGTTGTTGCTGGCATGATACCAGTACACCTCAAAGCGCTAGAGCAGCAAATGAAAGCCAAAACATTGAAGGAAGGGGCTATGTTACAGAAACGGGCGGTGACAGACCTAACATATAGGAAATGGCAGTCGCAGTGGGAAGCAACCAAGACGGGCCTGTGGACGAAGCGACTCATTGGCGATGTTAGACAGTGGACTGACAGGAACTTTGGCGAGACTGATTTTCATCGGACCCAGATGCTGACGGGTCATGGATGCTTTGGATATTATCTCCACAAATATAAAAAACGGGAAGACCCAGCGTGCGTAGACTGCGGATCACCGGTGGATAACGCTGAACACACGCTGTTTAGGTGCGACAGATGGCGGAGACACAGAAGAGAGTTGGAGGTGAGAATTGGTGCAGCGCTGGAACCAGATACGGTGGTGTCGAAAATGCTGGAGAAGACGGACCACTGAAATGCGGTTAATAAGGCGTACGCGGGAATGGGTGCTCTCGATAAGGAGAAAAGGAGAGGCAGGTTCAAAAAATAGCTAGAGCTGCAGGAGTAAGGTAGTTAAGTCGTATAATATGTGCACCGAAGGTGGAAGTAAGAGGGGTAGAGCCCTCTATCATTGTAAAGGCAACGCCTTAGATTTCAGTTTCATTATGTTTGTAAATGGTATGTTTGTAAATGGTTTATATAAATAAACGATGCGGATGCAGGGGGAAGGACTATCCTAGGATGAAGTGCCCCCCTGTAGCGCAGCGATTTAACAACAAAAAAAAAAAAAGGTATACATACAGGTACTATATAGTTATGAAGGTAATTTATGACAATTATATGTAAATATAAAACTTATTTAAAAATAAAACAAAATATATCAAAATACTGAAATATTTCATTTTTTTTAAATTTCATGAAATTTTCAAACACTATGCCTATGTATCGTTAATATTTTAGCTATAATAAAATAACTTACATATTACATTTTTAAGGTTTTTGACCGGATAAATATAATTATGTTATAATAATTAAATATAATTTTTTATTAACATTTATTTAGAAAAAAAAATTTAACTATTCAAATACAATCCAAGTGAAGACGGTATAACCAAACATTTAAATAAATTTTCATTTTTTTTTCTAAAATTATTTTTAAAAGCACTGAGAATTTTCAATTTCGACCCAATAAAAGTACCAACTAAATCCAATTTGCTTCCAAAAACATACACTGCGCATCGAAGCTTATGATCAGAGCATTTTTTCTACCAGAAAGTTGAAAAGTTACAAAAATTTTAAAATACCTCAAATAAACGTCTGAAATTATTAAACTGGACAAAATAAAAATGTAACTAATTTTCAAGCCCCCCCCCCATTGAAAAATCCTGCAGACGAAACTGTTGTCCTCAGTTCTAACCATACACAATATAATATATTAATTATTACAAGTTATGCTTAACTAATGTTTTAATGAACCTTAATGTTATACACTTCATAACTTATAAAATAATTGTTCTCACAAACTCCTCATACAAACATTTAGCTGTGTCATATTGTAATATGCAGAAATATGAGTAATTAAAAATGAACAATTAAGCAACTTTTAACTTATAACCTTAAAATTTAACTATAGATTAGTCAATAGACATATTCACAGAGTTGCATTTAAATCTCAAGTTAAAAACCAACAATTGAATATTTGTAATGGCAAGCGGAAAACAAAAACATCCATATAATTTATGTTTTTTAATTTTATTTTAGTTGTTTATTATTTTTATTTTATTTTCAATGTACATTTTTTTTTTTTTGTTTTTTGCTGCTGCTTTTTTTTGCTACTGTTGATGTTTTTGATACTGTTGATGTTGTTGCTGGTGTTGATGTTGTTGGTGGTGTTGATGTTGTTGGTGGTGTTGATGTTGTTGGTGGTGTTGATGTTGTTGCTGTTGCTGTTGATGTTGTTGCTGTTGTTGTTGTTGCTGTTGCTGCAGCCGCAGCAGCAGCAGCAGCTTGTGCCTTTAGCCTTTCAGCTAAAGTGACTTCTGCTGCTACTGCTGCTTCTGCTTTCCGAACAGCAATTGCAGCCCTGGCGGCCTTAGCCCATGCTCCTTCCACTGCCGTCTTCTGGCAGGAGTCGGTACTATGGCCATTCCAGCCACAATTTTCGTAACCTATGAAATCAAAAAAATTAATATATGTAAAATAACAGTTAAATGGATTATTGTATACGTAAAATGTTGAACGTTAGTAACTCCTTTAAGATTATTAGAGAAAACACACTTTGACTACCTATTACAAGAACAAAATATAGTCAGACTATACTAATACTAATACTTCTCTTTCTTTATATTATAATATAGTATAATAATTATAATAGAAATTCGCTAGATTAAACCGGTGTGAAAAATAATGCACCGGGATGTTTGGATAATTTACATGGTTCATTATCCCGGTGCGGGATAATGTGGGATAATTTTAAACAGGTTTAGTGTAGCAAATTTCTATTAAGACTCAAAAAATTGACCTCTAATAGGTACCTATAATAAATTCCAAATTAATCATATCACAATATCCATTAGGTACTTAAGTAGTTTCAAGTACCCACGAATAATATTATACAATCACAACAAAATAACTAAAATAGTTTTTCTAGTTTTTTTAATTTAATTTCTTCCAAATTTGAACTTAAAATGACTATGGAAGTAGCTTTACATTAAATTTTTAGCTTTTATAAACAACAAATAAAATTTTATTGATATTTTAAGAAAAAAACTAAAAAAAATGGATAATTTCCCCGGCGCTTATGAAAACTATTGGAATATTAAATTTTGACCTTAACAATGCACCAACGATATTCACTTTCCAATCGAACAAGATACTGAAGTTGAAAATCAAAGCATTATTTCGAAAAAAAAAAAAAAAAATTCAATGTAAAATCAATTTCGTCGTTCCACTCAGAATCTAAAAAAAACTGAAACAGCACATTCGGGTGTGGCGTCATCTCAAAATATTGAAATTTCATGCAAATAGGATGAAGACCTTCTCTGACGACTGACAGGGATTTCTTACTAAATATTATCTCTCTGAAATTTAATTAAATAATAAATATACTTACGCTGGCGTCTGTTGGATGATGGTACCAAGTTTTCGGTGTTGTTGCCACCATGACCACCACGACCGCGGCCGCCACGACCACGACCGCCGGCGTTCCAGCCGCCACCACCCCCTCCACCATCGGTGGTAAAATAAACATTAATCGACATCTATATTATAGGGACATTAAATTAATATAGGTATAAAGTTCAAATGAGATTTTAATATTAAATGGCATGTTGTATAAAAATATAATTCGGCAATAAATGGCCACTCTCATTCACCATTCATAAATGGTACAGAATTGTCATTGATATTATGTTTTATAAAATTAATAAATTAGGGCTGCACTACAATAATAAATAATAATGACTATTCTGTACATTGTGCTAAAATAAAAGGACACAAATATTAAAATATGTTTAAAATAAATCAAATATAAATAAAGATGCAGCAATACGTGTCCATAATCCGTTAATATTATATTATAGAATAAATAAATACAACCACTGAACCACGGTTATTTATAGTTTATCCAAGAAGATGGGTACTGCTCTAGCGCGAGTGTCCAAACGAAAATCGTATATTAAGATTTATACTTAATTAAGGAAAGCGAGAATTATTTGTTACATCAGATCAATTTAATGGTGTTGTTGCCTGAGTAATTTTTTTAATTAATATAATATTTTAATTGTTATTATAAATACTAAAAGGTATATACAGGGGTTAAAGTGGAGGGACGCAGGGGGACTCAGTCCCCCTACCTCGAATGGTGGTTAAAAAGCGTCCCCTTTAACAAATTCTTCTTAAGGTATGCCGGAATGCTCCAATTATATCCAAACATTAATCGATATAATTCAGAAATCCGTTGAGATTAAAACCGTGATTATCACGAACTACTACACTGGACTGGAAACGAGACGTTTACCGCCGGGTCGCTTAGTGTCCGCGAGAGAGGTGTACGAGGGGAAATCGTACATGAGCGAATCTGGCGCCATCTATACTTCAATGATAAACCATTTACCAAATGTATTCCTGCTAAATTGTTATCACTTATTCGAAAAATACGAAAATGTTTAAAATGTTTACCAACATGATGTTAGGGCTAATCCGATGAAAACGTTTATACTAGGTGAGGTGAGGTACGCGGTCGGATTGTTTACCGATTGTTTACCTATTATTAGTATTATTCACACACTGTCCTATCAATGTAATGTTTACTTTTTAATCAGTTTTATTTAAAAAGTTTTTAGTGTTAACTATTTAATTACCTATTTAAATAATTTGTTTAAAAGAACTAAGAAGTTACGGCCAACAGGCAACAGATAAGTTAAATCTTATTTAAGTAAAATTATTTTTAATGAACATTTATTTTTTGATTTTCATATATTATTTTGTTTAGACATTATGAGTCTTTTGAAGTATAACTTCTCTAAAACTCCAAAGAATGATTTACCTACACATAAAGTTCCTACCAGTACAATTAAATCAAATATTGACTTATCAACCTCATCAAAAATTATTCCTGTTACTAAATCTACTGATTCTATAAATAATAGTTCTTATCCTGACTGCTGGGACTCCAAACAAATTCTTTATTTTACTGAAACTTATCCTTGGATGTATTTTAAAGAAAAAAAAATTGGTTGTATATTTTGTAGAGATGTAAATCTAAACTTGCTTAAACAAACAGGATCACATATAGCAACTGAATGGTCAAATGCAGAAATTTCTCCAACTGGTTTAAATTTAAAAAATAAACAGACTAATTTAAGAAAAAAAATATTAAAACACAAGCTTTCAATTTCACATTTAAATGCTCAAAAGATAGTTGATGAGAGTAAAAAAAATATAATAGATGAAAAAATATCTGAAATGGCATTATCTGAATCAAACCAAACACAAAAAATATTTAGAACAGCCTATTTAATTTCTAAAAATCAACGCCCATATACTGATATGCCAAAATTAGTCGACCTCCAAGTTAATAATGGAGTTGATCTTGGGAGAATACTTCATACTAATGTATCATGTACACAGATAATTGATCATATTGCCTCTGAGATGAGAATAAAATTAGCTAAATGCATTATAGAAAATGGAACAAAATTATGTATTTTAGTTGATGAATCGACAACTTTGATCAGGAAGTCAATGTTGGTTATTTGTTTGCGCTGTGCTATTGGTGAATTGGGTGAAATAAATACATTCTTTTTTGATATTGTTGAACTGAATAATACTTCAGCTGTATCTGTAAAAGGTTCAATGTTGCAAGCACTTGAAAAGTATGGGATTAATTTTGAGTTTTTAAAAAAAAACTTGAATGCCTTTGTTAGTGATGGAGCATCAAATATGTTGGGACGTAAATCTGGTGTCGGTACTCTATTAAAAAATGATTTTCCAAATATAATAACTTGGCACTGTTGCAACCACCGCCTAGAGTTGGCAGTTAACGATATTTTAAAAGAAGTAAGTGGATTAAATCATTTTCAGAGTTTTATTGAAAAACTTTATGCAACATATCATATGTCTCCTAAGAATACAAGTGAATTAAGAGAATGTGCTGCTTCATTAGAGAAAAAACTATTAACAATTCGTAAGATTTTTACTATCCGATGGGTTGCTTCAAGTCAGCGTACAGTGAAAGCTGTTTAGAATAATTATGAAGCTCTATTCAAACATTTTTCTCATGCATCTACTGACACATGTAGAGACTCAAGAGAAAGAGCAAAATATAACGGGTTAAAAAATATACTCACTTCAAATAATTTTGTACATAATCTTGGTGTGTTATATGACGCATTAATGGAACTATCAGACTTATCAATACAATTACAAAAAAGAGATGACATTACCTGCTGCCCATAAATCTATTCAGCGTACAATTCGAGTTTTAGAGTCCATGGCTAGTATACCAGGTCCAAAATGTCAAGAAGTAATTTCTGCTTGTGAAAACAGAGAATTCAAAAATATTCAAATCTATTCTAAAACATCAGTTATAAAAGTACAAATGGGACAATTTTTTACAAGTCTAAGTAATAATATGAAACAAAGACTTATGACAACACAAGCTAGTAATGTGTCATCAAGGGAAGTTAATAATGAATATAAAGTTAATTTCAAAAATTTAATTGAAGATTTAGAAGTCCTTTCCTCAGAAAATTGGCCGGATAATATGGATATTCAGTATGGTGATGAAAGTATTCGGCGTTTATCAGAGGTGTTTCAAATTGATCAAGTTTTATCTGTTAGAGGTTTTCGTGAGTATAAAGAAAATGAAAAAGTTAACATCGATATTAAACCTTTAATGACTGTAATCAACTCTATTGCAATATCTTCTTCGGAGTGTGAACGTACCTTTAGCTCAATGAATGTAATTGTAAGTCCTATAAGGAGTACATTAACATCTAGTCATTTGTCTTCACTAATTTTCATTAATTGTGTTGGGCCACCTCTAGAAAAATTTGATCCTAAATCATTTGTGAGGTCATGGATCTTGAGAGGAAAACGTTCTGCTATAGAAACAAATTGTTTAAAAAGAACCAAAAAAGATGAAAATGAATCTAATTCTTATAATTCAATATGGAATTGTTTAAATGTTTAATTTAAAAACTTACTTAGTTATTATTATATTTGTTAGTTTTTATTTTTATTATTTAATGTTGAAGCAACCAAGTGCAAAAGAATATTAAATTTATGTTCCTACTTTACTTTACCATAATATATTAATAGTTTTAACATATTACTTTGAAATGCAAAAGTATAGCTAAGTGTTACTAAGATAATAACAATAATATAATTATAATGTATATTTTCTATGCAGATATGTTATATTTTTAATTTTTATGAGTTCATGTTAAAGAAAACATATTTTATTAAACAAAATACAATTTATGTTCCTATTTAAATATTTATAATTGTTTTATTTGAAAATAGCTCTTTATTAAATAATGTAAAATTGAAATTGAAATATTCATATAAACATATAGAATATATATAGATATAAAGGTAATGTGTGATTTTATAAGCATGTTCATCCCACCATGCGTAGAATTTGAATTTTATCTTGTACAATTTAAAGCACTAAAAACCCTACATTTTTATGATATAAATAATTTTTGTCTAGTTGATTCCTTTAGTTGTCTTATGTATAACGCGGTATAAGTACCTAATGGATATTGTGATATGATTAATTTGGAATTTATTATAGGTACCCATTGAAGGTAAATTTTTTGTTTTATACCATAGATATGTATATAATATGTCTTATATGTTATACATAGACCGACATACCGTCTCCGCTCAAAATCGGTTTTCTTATACAATGATATTATATTATCGTTGAATTCAAATTTAATATCATCCATTATACATTGACCCCCTTTTAACCTACTGTACAGCAGATCGACACCCACTTGGCCACCTTTTTTAAATTGGTTCAGTATAGTTTTCTTGCACTCGCCCATGGCATAAATATACTATAATGTATGTATTACCATGCACTCGCCGATGAGTTGTTTTATGTTTACTCGTATGATTCGTACATACAATTAATACATAAAACTATACTAAGTATATGATCTAAGGAGTGAATTAACCTATTATCAAATTTAAATGTCAGAACATTATTATAATACATTTTTAAAATTTTTAAATATTGAACAGCCTACACCACACGCCAACCCACCCAATGTTCCTATTGTTTGTTGGTTACTAGTTTCGTGGAAAACCGACCGCCCGGGTCCAACGTCATTGTAAATGTTTCACAAAGTATTTTTGTACAATAATTCGTATATATGTAAATAACCACTGCTATTGTGTTGGTTGACGTTGTGCCGTTTTGTGCCCAATAATACCCGGGGCGGCTCGTCACAGGAGAGTCCGATACCGCTAGATACTTGTAAATTATAATTATCCAAAAATAAAAATGTATAGAAGTAATTGATATATATATATTATATTGTAACATCGTGTTATCGTATATTATATCGTCGGTATGTCTATGTCAATATTATTTTAGTAATTCGGTCGACGGATTTAGTGAAACTGCCGCCCGATAGTAATTTCAATCATAATGTTATCGGCGAGTGGCCGGGGGAAAAATCCGCGTATTATACGTGCCATTGAAAGTGGATTCACGACAATCTCTTATATTATAAAACGAGGTTAGTCCCCAGTTTTGTCCACGGGGATAGACGACTTTCGTGTCGTTTTTCCGGCCCGGCCAATCGCAACGTTCAGATTCTGCGGCGGGCAATAACCGCGTTATCACTTCTTTTCTTATCATTTTCGAAATTTTCGAAATTTACACTTTTTACACGATTTCGACCGTTTTCTAGCCTTTTTCGCTCATATTCATATTTGATTCGCGTAGCTCGCAATCTCTCGAAGCCGCCGGTGTGCGGTTTATATCCGTTCGCCGTCCGTAGCCGTCGCAATGTCGATCGCAAAATACGCTCCCGGCCGGACTTTTTTGCCGATTTCTTTCGTTTTCTCCGACAGTTTCGTCTTTTCGCACGTCGTTCGTGCCCGAATCGTGTAGTTGACGTCTTTCTAAAGCCGTATATATACGCTTTTCTTACGAAATCGGTCGGTTCGCTTCGCAATCGCGTTTAGAAATTACGACCGACCGTACGCGTATAATACATGTATATACGTGTATAATTTAATTTTTCCTATTGATTTAATAATTATTAACGGAAAACGCTTTTCACGAGCTCCGTTAAATATATATATATATATATAGGAGATGCGCGTATTACAAGCGAATTATATGCGATTACATCGATGAACATTGAATATATCGGCTTACGTCGCTCCTTAAACGCACGGCTTAAGTGTTGATGTTTTGACCGTAATCCATATCTCAAATTGTGTCCGAGTAGGTTAGGCGTTAGGTAGAAAACACGTAGGTCCCGGGTTCGAATCCCGCCGTACGCTCTCGGGGCGTCGCTGCGGTCATTGCCATATGGATTACACGGCCGCCTGAATCCCGAATATTTGTTGCATTTTTTTTCCGTAATTTTACAAATTTCCGATCTTTTCTCTTTACTATTATTATTATTTTAACTTTACTTTGTGTATGTACGTTCAATTTTTGTTAATTAATCTACCATATTTCATTTTTTATGTATTAATATTATATGTATTTATGTAGGTAAGCATGTTTTTTTTCGATTTTCTTTTGTTATTTTACAAATTATAGTTACTGGTTTTTTTAAATTTTTATAATATTACTTGACTGTATCTATGAATATTTTTACTACTAAATTTTTATACCATTATATTATGTCATGTCCCTTCATCGTTGTATTTTAACTATTGTATTTTTACCTGATTAATTGTTTATTTTAAAAAAAGTATAATGTCATGTACATAATTGTAATTTAACTATTGCATTTCTTACTAATTGCATGCCTGTATATAAAAAAATATATTATAATGTGTATAAATGTAATTTAACCATTAAATTGTTTATATAGAAAAAATATACCTAATGTTAAGTACATAATGTAACTTAACTATTGCATTTTTAACTAATTATTCTAAACACGGTTTTATGTATTCATTACGGTTTTACAATCACTGTCAATTCATTTGTTTGTTTGTACAAAATATATCTTATCATTGTAGGTACTATTATTTCAACTATGTAACCAGGGCCGGATCTAGGGGGGGGACTGGGGAAGTCGGGGATTTATCCCCGGGCGTATAATTTTCGTGGGCGTATTTTTAAGGTTTTAAATATTTTGTAAGTTGAAAATTTAAAATGGACTTTAAAACAAAAGTCAAAACTAAGTTCAAAATAATATTTCACAAGAAATGTGTAATATTGGGTATGTGAATAAAATAAAATAATTTTATTTTTAATTGAGATTAGTAATAACTAATAACATTGATTTAAAAATTAAAAGGACAAATATGAAAAAGGTAAAAAATAGATAAAAATATAAAATAAATCAAATCCGTCCGCAATTTACTGTCAGCGGGAGTGTACATGCCTTAGTCTATCATAAATAAATTAATGTACTCTCCGATTAGTGACATAATAAAGTATGGTAAATTACATCATTTTCTTGCATATAATATAATATTATGTAGATAGTTGTTTAAAACCTTAATCTTAAAAATCACACTATTAATTGTAATTCATTGTTATGTGATTTTAAATTAACAACTATACATTTTTCCAAATAGGTAGGTACTGCATAAAATTATGTACTACATAAAATGTTACTTAGGTACTAATGATTTAATTGTTTTCAGATTATTTATTAAATTACACGTTCGTACCTAGACTTATAAAAGTCTTTGTATTTAACAACAAATGCCTTTTTATAAATATCACCATGGCCACTAGATAAATGTAATAGAACACAAAATGGAATATAATTTGTCATTTGTGTTTGCTTTTTAGTTTTTAAATAGGTATAAGTATACAACTATTAATTTACTTGATAAACTTGATACTACAAAAGTACAACATAATTAAATGATTAAAACAAAAATACTATCCTATTGATTGTAGCTCAAGACAGATTGAATATTATGTTTTACATATTATATTAAAATAATTTAAAAGGACATTTATATTCTATTTGGTTCGTTTTTTTTTTATTATAAACTGTGTTTTTTGTCTAATTTATTTTTATAGTTCAAGATGTTAAACAGACAACCAGGTCCTTATTATTCTGGAAATTTTTAAAATGTAGAATGTAGAATGTAGTTATTTTATTATATATAGGTACATTCAATCCATAAGTGATAATCCATGATAAATATTTCTTTGTCGTGTTATAAACATTATATTACAATTTTCAGTACATAATTACATTTTTGTTTCATTGTATTTATTCCGTACCTAGGTACATATTATTAGTTTTGATTGTTACAATTATTTGTGACAATTATTAAAAATGAAAATGTATAATTTTGATAGGTATGTTGTAAATTAAATATTGTTCTTTTACATAAAGCGTCCTATACTAAAAGTAAGCAATGGATACCTAATTTAGATTTGTTAATAAATAATTCATACATGTTATTATTATCAATATTATTTATTCTAAACCTGGAACTTAGAAATATTGACCACAGATTTTAGCTTTAAATACACCATTGAGAAGTGCTTCTAAAACTATATTACGTGAATAGTTTAAATTTTAAAATGTTTCATTTTTAAGTTAAAATCGCTCAAATTATTTGTGGTAAATAAATGATCATAGGCGCACATTGGGTGTGAATTTAGGGGGTGCTGGAATAATTTATGATTCACAGATCCGTGGGGGGCTTTGCCCCCCACACAACCCTAAATCCTAATATTTCTGCATTGCATTAGATTTAATTTGTATAGTGTATTCAATAATATCTAAAGTGCAATGTATCAAATAGTCTGTATGATTGTACAGAAGACGCTAGGTACACCAACATGTGTTGTCTCCGTATTACAAACGTAGGTACAACATAGGCAAAACTGTTTTGCACGGGTATAAAAAACTTTAAGGCTGTACTCTAAGCTAAGAAAGTAAGAAACTAAATGTTCACACTATAAATATGAGAAAATTTACTGTGTAACTTTGTTTTTATATTTCATAAAATTTGAAA